TATATATATATATATATAACAACAAATTAGCGTAACGAAATTATCATTACCCGATTTTTGAAATAAAAACTTTCGAAAACTAATCGAAAATAATCGTACAATTCCACAAGATAATATTAATAACAATAACAACAACAACAATAATAATAATTGGAAAATTATTATTTTGCGAATCAGGATTTTTCGCTTGAGCTCAGAATCGTTACTAGGTAGCTTCTTTTGGTAAGAAGAGGGAGGGGGGAAAAAGGAAAAGAAAGAAGGAAAGAAAGAAAGAAAGAGGAGATTCAATGTACATACAATGTTGTACAGCCTCTGTTGAAACACGAGGCGGACAGGCAGGCTGATACAGGGTGTCAGAAATAGCCGAGACGAGGAGGTAGGGTAGAAAGCGAATCGACTAACAGTGCAAACAGGCAAGGAACAACGTCAGTCCTTGCACCGAAGCCAAAGCAGCGAGTCTCGCTTTCTCGATGAATTATTCAAGGTTCTTGATCCGGTCTCTCAACCGTATAAACCGACAGACGGATTCCCGTCCTCTCAATCGACCAGCTACCGATTTTTTCCTTCCTACCCAGGAGCTTCCTTCTCGCTCTTCCCCTCTCCCTCCCTCTCTCTCTCTCTCTCTTTTCGTTCCCCTAAGTTCTGGCCTGGCCCTCTCCCTTCTTGCGAGTATGTCGACCAGATTAAGATCGCAGAATCGACTGTCAGCTGCGGTGATCACGATGCGCAACAATCGCACGGTTCAGAATCGTTTTGTGCACCATGTTAGGCAGTCTTCTGTTTTCCCTTGTTTCCCTTTTGCTTCTACTTTATTCTTCTTCTTCTTCTTCTTCTTCTTCTTTTGCGTGTTTTTTTTTTATTTCTCTTCATCATTCACGTATTTGAATTTTAGAGACAGGGAATTGGATATTCGAAATTCATAATATTTTGAGTTTTTCAAAGTTTTAGTTTCGCGAAACTTTAGAAATTTAGGGATAATTGGAAACTCGAATTCTTCAAATTTTCCATTGTTTTTATGATTCGAAAGTTTCGACAATCAGGATAGATGAGATAAAATTAACGATACGTGAGATAAGGCTAGCAGTATTCAAAACTCGAAAAATTTTAAATTTTTGATTTTTAAAAAATTCTCTGATTAAATAATTCGACGAAAATAAAAGAGAAGAAACTGGATATGAAATTTTCTATATATTATTTTTATGTTTCGAAAATTTCACCCAACGAAATGAAATGAAAAATTAACAATTATTTTGAATTCTCGAACTTTTTTATACTTTCCATTTTCCTACGATACGAAAATTCTTGATATTTCAATTTTCGAATTCTCATCCCCACGAGGATGAATGAAAAGTAGAGGAAGACGTAAGAATGAAATTCTCATCGATGTGCCTGAAACACGATTCAACACCGATGACCTGCACGTCCTGCACCGAACTGCATACACGCGTGGACGACGTGGCACGAAAAGACGAGGTCATTCTTTCGCAAGAATGAGCAATGCGTCGAAGGAAGAGAGCTCGGTTACTCCTCTCGGAGAACAAGTAGTAGAAGACGAGACGTTCAGACTGTGCAAGTGGAGAGTGGATTGTGTTGCGGCGAGTTAGCCGGCTCAATTCCTGGCGTGAGACCTTCTTATCCAACGCTCTAACGGTACCATATCGAAATGAATGCAAAAAGAAGAACACGCTTACTCTCTTTACTTAACGTAAAAAACAACGTTTAATTGTCCATTTAAAATATTCATCGTAGAACACTGTGTACAACAATCGTGAATATGCGTCACAGATTTTTTAATTTTCGTCGAGGTTAGGGAATAAAGGTGGCTCGATAATTTATTATTCAATGCGTCGAAGCGAGTAAACGTTATCCGAGGTTATTTTAACCGAAACGTAATAAAGTTATTACTTAAACTATATAATAATATTCAAAATTTCAACTAATTAATTTTTCGAAAGGTTCAATCAAAGTATCCAATTAAACGAATAGTATCTAAATTTGAATGGATTCTCCAATATATATTTTAATTGTACCGAATATATATCGCGAATATAAAGTATAAATGAGATCGTTACTATATTCATTAAATCGCACGTTTGTGTATGTTAAACGTTTATCGATGGATAAAATCGATTAATCTCGACGTCTTGAAAAATGTGTCTCGCGTAACGCGCGAATGGCCTGGTTGCTCGAACTCAGAACGGGAAAACGGGAAGATGGGAAAGGTGGACAAGAGGCATCGAGGCTGTTGAATGATAATCGACGTCGATTTTCACTGTAACAGCCGGCTTGTATCGATTGTGGAAAGACTAATGGCCAACGTGGTTAACCGTATTATCCCACGGCGGAAGTCCGCCAGTTCAAACGGGGACATAAATAGCGGCGGTTCCCGAAATCGTCTGTTTCAATATTAGTTTAACGATCGTGGATATAGAATCCGATACGAATGCCGTGCTTCCACTTATTATCGGTGGCAAGATACGTTCGCCAATCCGCAATTTCGAAACTTTGCTTAAACCTGTCCGTGAATTCCTAATTTTCAAAAAAAAAAAAAAAAAGAAACGAAAATACATCGAGAACAACGTTATTCTTAACATAGTTCTCTCAACAACAAAAATTAAGACGAATAAGTGAAATCTATCATGTTTCTATTTTACGAATCGTTTATCACTTACTAAGAAAATGATATTAGAAATTTATTTAGTTAGTTTTAAAAGGTACAATTATTTTTAATAAAACGTCCATTTTCGTAATTTCGTTATTAAGATTTCGTAATTTCGTTAAGAAGATTTAAATATATATACATAAGTGTGGAACAAATGTAATATAGAAAGAGGCGAACTTGGTACGATAGCAAAGAATAAGGGAAGCGAAGAGAGGTTGTCGGATTCTTTATTAATTTTACAACTTTTTCATAAAGCAACGAGCCGCCAGGATTTGATATACTCGCGCATAGTTTAGTGAATATTGACGGTGAATCTCATAGCCTCCACCTTTCCACCCCCTCCCCCGCCTCCTCAAAAACCTTTATCCGCGCTCGTTTCTTATCGGGTGGATCCTGGTCAAACGGTATACCCCGGTTTTTCATAGAAATTCCCGGGATTTTTTGGCCTCCTAACTTTCTAGCGATTCCTCGGCCAGATTGGCGATCGAGCGAAAGTGAGAGTCGGAGCAGAGGATGGCCCAAAGTTTCTCAGGGCGTTCAAGTTTCACGGTGGTTGATATTTCATACAGAGTGTGTGCAACGGTGTACCCCTTCGTCGGCCGGCTCACTACCTAATTCCACCTATATTATTCACCCAATGTTACAATGTACCTTTTCTCCACCTGTGTACAATTCGTCTGAGTGAAAAAGTGTGGTTTCGCGTCCGGCTCGAAATATTCGCTCGACCATAAATATATTTTTCGTTTATTCGTTTTCGCTTCGATCTCCAACTTTTCCAAACTTTTCTTCATAATTCGTCGGGGGAAAAAAAAATTAAGGTTTTGAGACGGAAAATTGAAAGAGAATCGGCCAATAATGATGACGAAAAGGAGAGAGGCAGAGAAATTGAAAGTAAATTATCGAAAAGAATTTTAACAATTGTTAAAGAGGAAGGATGGATGGTCTCGATTTTCCCGAAGAAAAAGCGGGTGGATTTAATTAGAGGGGAAGTAGGGAAGGGCAAAAGGTCGGAGGATCGTTTCGGTCGCAGAGAAGAGAGCGGAGCGTATCATTAGCGTCAAGCGGTACTCGAAGGATCTCGCAAGATCGTTCGGAGCTCGAGGAACTCGGGGAGGCTATGGAGGCAGCTCGTAAAGTAAAGTGGGCCCCGGTGTCGTGGGGACAGGCGGAGAAAATACAGGCGAAGTCAAACACAAGCCGCCTGTGTCCTCTTTTGCATTAAACGCGCATTCCGTGGCAAACGATTAAGACCTAAGAGAAACCGCTTGTCCAACGCCGCCGCTTGGCCCCCGAACCGACCAACCAATGAATGTCCTTATTGTCCTACCGTGAGAACTCGAGGCACGCGCTTCTCGCCGTGAATTCGATATAATTAAATAAATTATACAGGAACGGCCGACTTCGCCGTTTCCCTCCTTCTTTTTTCTTTTCTTTTTTTTTTTTTTATTACACGCGCATCCACACGTATCCTCGAACGCGTACGATCTTCTTTTCCCTCCCTGAGAAAACTCCGTGTTCTCCTCCTCCTCGCTAAGTAAGGAATGTATTCTTTATGCAAATTATTACGTACTCCGTTCGGTTGAACAAGGGAGGGAAAAGTTATCGCGTATGGCTTTTTACAACACGGAACAACGTTTGCGCGTTTAAATTCGATTGTTTCTGTTGGCAAAGAGTAATATAGTTAGCAATAATGATCGTCGAGGATTTTCTGTTCGATCCGCGGAATATATGGTCTTTTTCTCTCTCTCTTTCTCTCTCTCGTCCTTTCGAAAGAGAAAAATGAATTGTTGGAAATTCACGCGACAGCGGTGACGGCAGAGAATCATCGTCGACGCTGTATCGTTTTTAAAAATATGCAACGATATCGCGTTACTTTCCTCCAACTCGTGTTACTTTCAGCATTTATCTAGCGTTTACTCCTAAACCTGACGTGTCGTGAGACTGAAAAACCGTGGAACTGGGTAATTCGAGAAGAGAAACCATATTGCATACCGTGCCAACCTATCGTAACGTTTTAAAGAAACGTTTTTTTATTCTTTTTTTTTATCTTATTCGCAACAATTAAAAACCGTCTCGTCGCGAAACTGCCTCTATTTTAATATGCAATAGACGTAGCATATATCCATTGTCCTCAACGACGAAAAGATTATTCGCTCCCGATTTTCAGTTTTCACTCAGTATCAATTTGAATGGACAAGATAAAAGAAGATATGGAAAAGAAAGTGTGATTAAAATTAATTCCGAAAGTATAAAAGTAATGAAACCGGTGGAATAAATATCAAAGTAGATATCAGCTCATTGGGGCGAACAGGTTGGTAGAAATACTGAGCTTTATCGGAGATCTCGTACAAAATGGTAGAGAACAAGCTGTCTACTAATGCTTGTGTAATCCTATAAGCGGTATAAGTCCCGATGACTGGTCGGAATAATACCGATAGGCCGTTCTACCCTCTTTGTCCCGCTCGCTCTATTCGCTCCTCCACCGTCCCGTTGCACGCAACCCTTCCTACCAAAAACCCTTCCCACCGCCACCGTTTCAAAGGACCAACTTTTCAAAGGCAAATGTTTCCACTTCGAAACGCTCTTCACATCCAAATTTAGAAATCAGAAATTTTATATAAGCCGTTTGAATTTTTTCAATAATCGGCCACAAATTTTTATAGGGTTGATAAAATCAATCTTACTTTTCGATGTTTCTGAAATATCATAGACGAATTAGAGGAAGAAAATCATTTTTTTTTTTTTCCATTGTACGATGTATGGCGAAGTCACACCCAAATTTAGAAATCAGAAATTTTATATAAACCGTTTATTTTTAATCAATAATCAGATACTCGGGCACAAATTTTTATAGGATTAATAAAATCAATCTTACTTTTCGATGTTTCTGAAACATCATAGACGAATTAGAGGAAGAAAATCATTTTTTTTTTTTTTTATTGTACGATGTATGGCGAAGTCACTCAAATTTAGAAATCGGAAATTTTATATAAACCGTTTGAATTTTTAATCGATAATCGAGCACAAATTTTTATAGGGTTGATAAAATCGTTGAAAAAATCTTACTTTTCGATGTTTCTGAAACATAGACGAAGAATTAGAGGAAGAAAATCATTTTTTTTTTCATTGTATGACGAAGTTACAGCACCGCTCTAAGGAGGAGGATATTTTTTAGTCGGTACAAGGATGGTCTTTTTTCCTCGTTTAACGAGGATTCTCGGCTGTTAAACACTCGGTTGAACGTAGCAAGTACATAGAACCCTCGTTTGACTCTGTTCGCCTCTCGAGGCAACCAAGGCTGGCTGCGTCGGTGTTCCCTTCAGTTGGTAGTTGTGGAGGAAGGGAATCGGATGCGAGAGGATCTTTTCCCTGTAATTAATTTAAGAGGGCTCGCTCGAGGTACTCCTCTTGGCGGGCAATGTCTGACTAGATCTAGCGAGAGTTTCGTGGCATCTCGCGGATCACCGAGAAAACGAAGAGGGGCCTCTCTTCTCGTCTCCTCCTTATCGGCCTTCGTTCACCCTACGCACCTTCGCCTAGTTTTCTTCTCGATCTCCCCTCCTCTCATCCTCCTTCAAGCTTGTTAAGACGAGTGATACGTAACACGATACAAGTTGCGCTCTCGTCACGATTTATAGAGAGAGAAAAAAAAAAGAGATGGAAGAAAGATATAGAAGAAATTAATTCTCGACGAGACGATTCAGATTTTTCAAAACGAAAAAGCTTAGAGAACGAAACTTGTCGTGCATTTGGTTCTGATCGATTATTTATTAATTATTTAATAAATCAGAAAAATTCGATTTTTAAACGTTTCCTACTTCAAGTCGAAAAGTAGGAAATCGCAAGATTCACAATTGAACTAGAGAAGAAAAAAAGATTCCAATTCCAATTTTTAAATTCCTTCTCCGTCTGAGAACGGTTGTTAATTATTCAATCAAAGCGAGAAAGTTACAAAGCGATGAAGCTTCTTTTTTTTTTTTTAAAAAAAGACTACGCAAGTATTCTTCTCGCGTTGTCGCGGGTTATAAGGCGGCGTTAAGCCCGTGTTACCGAAAAGGGAGATACAAAAAGGACGAAGGGAGGGGAAGATCGAGAGATGCCAGGTACTCAGGAAGCGGGAGTATAGTAAAGGAAGAAAAAGAGCGTCGGGGAAGGGAGCGCGTGGTAATCCAAGATTTATTCTCGCAGACTGTGACAGCGGGGCCGGTGCTTCTAGCACGATTTAAGGGCTACCGGATTCCTCACCGCTTTTGCCAACACTTGCCACTGATCTGCCGAGGAAACGGGAAACCGATAGCCACAACACTGCTACACCATCGTACCTCGAAAAAAAACATTTTTTTACAGCAATGAAATACAGAAACTATTTTTCTTTGTTCCTATCTAAAAAAAAGGTATTAAAAATTATATATAAAACGAAAGAACCAATCGATTCTCGCGAGATGTTTTTCGGTATTATTATTATTATTGATCATCAAAAGTCATTACTTTGATGAAAATAATAGCGATTGACGAAGATTAGATGATTAGAGGGCAAGATTAATAAACGAAACAAACGTGACAAATTATCCTGTGCGTGTGTATGACAAAGAAAAGATCGAAGGAACAAGTTTAACACTTTATAACGGAATAACAACAACGTTTCGTATACCCGTGCACGAATCTTTACATACGTCTGTATAAGACGCGAACGGTGAAGATGAAACATGTATATATATATATATATATACGTTTGATGCAGAAATCCCGTGTAGAATCGCGCAATTATACATAGATATTCGTGAATACATCTTCAACAGCGTATAATCTTCTTGAGACGCGATGAAGTGTGAAAGAGGCGGAGGAGAGAAAGAGAGAGAAAGAGAGAGAGAGAGGAGTCGGAACGTGATAAATCGTCGCGGCCAATGGTAGCCGGCCGATCTCCTCGATTAAAGTAAAATATATGGCAGCTTTAATTACGAAGAGATTTCGGAACGCGACTGGCCAAAGTATTATACTCGCGCGCGAGAGAAGAGAAAGGGGAGAGAGAGAGAGAGAGAGAGAGAAAGAGAGGAGGCGAAGGAATGAAAGAGGGGATGAGGGGGGCAACGTAGAAAGGAGAATAGCGGTAGAGGATGGTCAGGAAAGGGAGACGATGGGCCCAGAGGGGCGACCTCTCAGATGCATTATTCATGGACTGTGAGAAGATACGATATGATCCAATATGTGGCTGCGCGCCCATACCCGTTAAATATGCCCAACCTGAGGAGATACCGAGGCGAGCAACACACCTCCTTCCTAATCTGCTGAAAATTGGTCCACGAATTTTCGAGTAATTTGCCGTGGAAAGATAGCTTGTTCGCGCCATCGATAGGATCTCCCTCCCTTTCCACCACGTATACCATGTTTCATCGAGATTAAACTCCCCTCTATCGTATCCTTGATCCTTCGAGCACGTTCGATGGATCGAACGCGATGATTTTTTTTATTACATCTTTTATGTCAATGAAACTCGACGGAGCGGGTGATATAATTAGGCGCCCTTGATCGCGATGAAAATTAATCAAAAAATTGTTTTTTCTTCTTCCTCCTTGCTTTCTGCGCTTGTTAAGAAGCCGACATTGGCGACGAGGATCGCGCGCCATCATCGAAGAGGGTTAACTCGCGCACTCGAGTCCGCGCGAAATATTCTCGAGAGTTTCCGCTGGCGTGAACCGAAGTGGCAAGATTTACCGCGGGGGGAGGGAGAGGAGGAAACTTTGAAACGGGAAAATAAACGGTGCGAGAGGACAGAGAGGCAGATCCAGGTGGTTCGATGTTCCGACAGTTTTCACGCGCAAACAAACACGCGAGTGTTGCCACTTTGAAATTTTCCCAAAGATACTGGAACACCCATGCATCCGAATATGCGCCAAATGGCGCATTATACTCCTTCGATCCCTGTATTTATAATATCATCTCTTACGAATTATTTTTTCCTCTCTCTCTCTCTCTCTCTCTCTCTCTCTCTCTCTCTCTTATTTCCTTTCGCCTCGAAACTTTACTTTATATAATACAATTTTAAATTTGCAAAAGAACGTCGCGATGCGAGAGAAATTAGGTTTTTCGCGGGAAATCGCGATTGCCGCTCGTTTCCTTTTTTCCGATTAAAGGTTAAAATGATCGAGGGGATGGTACAACGCGGTATTCCGCGATTCCGCAGCGTTACAACAGCGAGATGCATACTTCTGCACGCCGCAGAAATCGAGGCGGCGCGCAGCAACGCAGGCCGCGGTGAAACGTATTAACACACAATGAGATAGTTTTGTTCCACGGCTCCTTGGAAGCCGTGGGCTTGTTTCGCTTCTCTCCTTGTTCAAAGCACGTTCCATACCCACGGATATCGGTCTACCCGGTGTTCGAAAATTCTCCTTCCACCTGTCATTCCCCGCGAATTTTATATATATATCATGAAAAACGATTTCGAGAAAAAAAATTTTCTTTTCCTTTTTTATAGGTTTGTAAAGATTTGTCGATATCCAAGAAAATGGTGTACAATGTGGAATAATCGTAAAATTTCTCCCCAGTTTCGGTATCTCGTGTTCCTTTCGAATAAATGGAATATCGAATAATTGGGGAAACAAGGAGAAAAAAGAAAAGCAAGAGTGGAGGAAAGAGCGAAAGGGCGAACATTGAGAGCGAGAAAGATATTACCAGGTTTGGTAATCGACGAATGTAAACGGCAATTCGTAAAATTAGTGCTCGTATTACCGGACATTACTTCGTTAATTGGGAACGATACACAGAGACGTAGAGTTTCGATGGGGCGGTTCAAGAGAAACGGACTTAAAATTTTATTCGTTATTTCTCTTTCGTATAAAAAACTATATTATTATTTTCGTCCAACTAATTATCGAATGAACAACGCGAAAGGATGCCGAGAGAAATTTTCTTGGGGCGTGTATGCGTATTAATACACGATATTATTACACGTTTTTTATTATTGTACATTTTTTTAAACGTGTTAATATTGAAATGTAACGAGAGGAACGAACCGATGCCGATGAATATTTAACGAACACCGCTTATATGGATGGCTCACAAAGGACAGACCATCGGGTATCCCCTTTGCACGAAACTTGCCGTGGACCATTGTGCGCGGACGTTTTGATAAATTACCGAATAATTGTCAAATGTTAGAAAACAACAAAGTCGATGCCGACACCGGCAAAAAACTCAAGTCCCAAGTCGGAACAATCCGAAGCGTTTACTACTTTTGTTAAACGTGTGCGAACGGTTGTTCGAACACGCCAATGATTACGCTC